ACAGAAAACAGATAAGTGATTGTCACAGGCTAGGAGGAGGAAGGATTGGGAAATGATTACTTAGGGGTAGGGAGTGTTCTGCTGGGGGATTTAAAACATTTTTGACATTAGACAAAGGCGGTGGTCACACAACATTGTAAATGCAGGAAACACCACAGAATTGAATGTGCTAAATTGGTTGGTTGTCATGCCAGTTTCCCATCAATTTACAAAAACAAAAAGTGACACAAAGATAGTTATGCCTAGAGAGCAACAGGGACCTAGAGAAAGAGATTGAGAGAGAAGAGAAGGTGCAATCAGGAAAAATTGTAACCCATTATAAGAAATTTATTAGTGCTGTTCTGTCAGCGGGTTGCCGGCTAAATTTAATATGGATCTATATACAAAGAAAACGCCTTGTTCTACATAATGAATATTTAATCATGCACGGGTCGGGCAATTTCACAGAAGTAATTAAAAGCAGTCTTTTGTTTATTGCTCAAAAGTGATAGCGACCCGCTGACCGGAGCTGCAGACACAGTGACATATTGAAAACGTTACCTACTGACATATGTTATTAAAGAGGAATTAAGAGTTGCTTTCTTTCCCTCCCCTCTGAAGTTCATGTTCCTAAGCCCTCCTGTCTGCTCACATGCTCCGAGGCGGGGCCAGCTCCCAAAGTGGCTGGAGAGCTAGGCCAGAACCCCTTGATCCACAGCCTTCTCCCCAGATCTGTAAATTCACAGTTGAGATGATTATTTAGAAGACCACAGAGGGCACATAGGCCATGATGTGTGTTTTCTTGTGGGAAGTTCTCCCTACTGTCCTTCCTCTCCAGCCAGATGCAAAAATCCCATCAATGCTATTTTGGGCCCCTTTGCCATGGGCCCTGTTTGTTCCTTTGTCACTACATTTTCCCTGGTTCAGCTCAGCTTTGCCCACTCCTCCCTGCAGTCCTGTTCCTCCCCATCCCATCCACTGATGGCTGGATTCCTGGATCTGTAGATCAAGGCTCTCCCTCCCTCCTGAGCTTCCCATGGCTCCCCATCATCTGTCCTCCTCCTCATGCTGGCATTGAAGGCTCTCATCATCTGGGCTCAGCTGACCGTTCTGCATCAGAAGCAATTGAAGTCATACATGTTCCAAGTATACAGTAAGTGCTCAAAAAATGTTAGGCCACAGTGGTGGTTTTTTGACCATCCTTTTTGCCAAGGTAGAGCTTGATTTCTCTCCCCCCAAATGTGGGCCAGCCTTAGTAACTTGATTCAGATGGAATGAGGAAGAAGAGATCACGGTGGTAGTGGACCCAGTGTGTCTTAGGCGATGCTGACACCCAGCCACCCAGCACTGCCAGGGTGCACTTCAGGGTCGCACACAGGAGGGGTGATGTTCTCTGTTCTTTCCATTTTCATTCTGATGATATCTAACTTCCCACTGGCCTTCAGGGCCCCAGTAACACATTGGTAGCATGTCAAGAGCCTTGTTAGGAGCAAGGCATGTGGTCATCTGTGACATCATGAGAGACCCTGTGCAGGGACAATTAAACCCATTATCCAGAGGTCGGAATTAAGAGCCATAGAGGGTAAGTGGCTTGCCCAAGCTGAACAGCTAGAAAGCATCAGAACTGTGGCTCTCTTTCACATACACCCACACTCACCCATGTCGCCCTATTGCACCGTCCTAGTGCGTCCCCTGAGAACTATCTACAGTGAGCCTGCGTGCTTCTGGGTGGCAATGGAAAGTTTATTTTAAAAACATTCAGAAGATTTGATCCTAAATGGTTTCAGGGTGGGCTGGGACCTGGGGTTAGATTAGGTTCAAAGCTCAACTCTTCAATCAAACTGTGGGGACAAGAGCTTAACCCATCATGACTTCAATCCTTCATCTGTAAAAAGGAGCTCCTGTGGCTGTTGTGACAATGAATGGAAACAGCTTGTTAGTGACATACAGCAAGTTTGCCCAATGCATATCATTCCTCTCTTGCACCTCGAAACCACACTGAAACAATTTACCTCTGATCTGTTCCAATCCCACGAATCCCCGGGAGCATTTCAAGGACACCTCTTACAAGAGACCTTCCTTCTCTGACCACCCTATCCATCTTGATCTCCTCATCTCCAGAATTTCTATCACATTCCTAGCCTGTACCACATAGTTTGGGTATTCTTTATTTGCCAAGTGCACTTTGGATTAATAACTAAACTTGAGGAGTGACAACTTTTCCTAGTTACCATCTCAATCACTGGCTCAGGGTTGGGCATAGTAAGTGCTTAATAAACACACAATCCAATCTCCCCCTTTCTCACCTCTACTGCATTTTGTTTCCTGGTGTACATCATTGTCGATCTGGTATTGAATCAAATAAAATCTAGAAGAGCTTAAAAGCAGCCACAATCTGGGGGAGCTTTTGGCATCATCTTCTTCTAGCTTGTGCCAGAAAACTCCAGTCATTCCTCTAGAATAATGGTAGTACGTACAGATGGGCCCACTGCTACCTAGCTAGGGACCACATTTCCTGGACTCCTTTGCACAGGGGTGTGACCATGTGACAAAGTTCTTGCCAATGGAATGTGAAAGAAAACTCCAAGATCAACACGCTCTATATCACCCCCAAAGCACCTCCCTTTTGAAACTTAAGTTAATCCCTTTACATAAGCCATTGTAGGGACCCCTCAGATGAAGCACCAAGTGAGCGTCCACATACAATAGAGAACCCCATGATCCTGGCCTGGGCCTCAGTTTTTCCATCTGTAGGTAAGATTCATCCAGTTCTAGCAGTGAATGAGTCTAAACTGGACTTCCATTCTCTTCTCCTCCCTCCGCCCCTCTCCCTTCTCACCTGCCCCACCAGCTGCCCAGCAAACTGGGCTACCATTCTGTCTGAGAAACAGAGGTCCCTGGCACCTTCTAGTACGTCAAGTCCTGGTTCTTTCTGATTCCCAGAGGCCTTCCTGCCTCCCCTCAGCAGGTTTGGATCACAGTTCTGACGTGTTCTGTTGGATTCCTGGGGAAAGATGTTTGCCCAAAGATTCTGGGGCAGCCTTCCCTCCCCCAGAATCAAAACCTTGTCAAGGAGCAGCTGCCCTTACAGAGGACACCCTGGCCCAGGCTATTCCTCATGACAGCCAGCAAGGGAGCCCAGCCAGCGTGCAGGAGGACAGCCACTAGCAGTCACTGCCCAATGGCCTCCTCCAAATCCCCCACAGTCACTCCACTGTGTCCATCCTCTCCTGCTAAGAGGGTCCCCAGTGTGCACTATATTATTGTTTGGGGCTTCATGATACTTGTGATATTTTTCAGCTTTTGAAATTTTCTATTATAATTTATTATCTTATTCTAATTAATCATCCATTTGTATTAATTTTATATTCATAACTATGTATTTTTTTTCTTAAAGAGAGCCCCCAAGCTGCACGTGCCACCAGCCCCACAAACCCTGGGTGCCCTCTTATCCCCGCACCACAGGAGTGTGAATATGGAGGATTCTTATGCCGTGGGTGCAGAACACCCAGCCCGACTCTCTCCTGCTACTTGGTGGAATCTGCTTGTTACAGGTATGGGTTGAATTGTTCCCCAACAAAGATATGCTGAAGTCCTAATCCCTAACCCCCCATAATGTGTCTAGAAATAAGATCGTTGCACATGCCATTAATTGAGAGGAGGTCATATGGAGTTGGGTGAGTCTGCTGTGTCTGGTGTCCTTATAAGAAGACTCCAAGACAGACACCCCAGAGGGGAAGACAGCCATGTGACAGCAGAGGCAGAGACTGAGGTCTTGCAGCCACAAGCTCGGGAACAGTAAAGACCACCTGCACACAGAAGCTAGAAGAAGGGGATACAACCCCTGCTTCTCCAGACCCCTCACAGAAAGTATGGCCCTGTGACACCGTGATCTTGGACTTCCAACCTTCAAAATAAAGGGAGAATGAATTTCTGTTTGGGCAGTGGTACTTAGTAACAGCAGCCCCAGGACAGTGACATGCTGCTATAGGAAGCTACTGCCTAGATGGCATTCGCTGAGACCTTGACTCCCCAGCTCTTGGAGAAGTGGCATCAGCACAGATAACAAGACAGACAGAACAAAGTAACCATGACAGGCAGAACTAGGACAGGGGGTTTGGGAAGTGTCAGGGGGCTAGACAAGCTGTTGAGTCCCGCAGCTCAAAGTGCCAGATGCAAACGGTGGCCAGCCAGCGCAACTGACTACCTCAGAAGAGCCAGGCCCTAAAACTAGCCCCTGTCTCCTGTGAGCTTGGTGAGGCCTGGAGCCCTCCCTCCGGATTAGTGGATCAGGCTCCGAAGGCCTCGGGGTCAAGCCCCAAGAGATGGAGCTATCCTTCCCACGTGGGGATGGAGCCATCCCCACAGCCACAGGAGCTGCCTTTGTCCTCCAAGTTTGACTCATCTAAGGGATGATAGCGCAGTGACCCCAGCACCTGAAGCCCAGGTAGAATGCTCACCGCGGCTTATTCTGAATGCAGGTGCCCAGCGAGCCTTTGGATGGAGCAGCAGGGCCATCGAGTCAGCACCAGACGCAGGCTCCGTGTGGCTGACCTTTCCACTCATAGCCCTCGCCACCGCCGAGATTCACATAATTGCAGTCTGTGAACAAAGGAAGTGCCAGCTACATGAGACAGGAAGGGACTTCAGCAAGTGACGCCCAGGGTGCTGGGGCAGGGCAGGGGTTCTCACCCTGGCCAGCAGGGCTGGCCCTCAGCCCGGTTGTCTTCACGATGAACATGAAAGCCACCAACTCAATTATCTCAAAGGCCTTTTCTGCCTCAATTTTCTCCCACTACAGGGACCTTGCAGCCTGCCAGGGGCCTTGAACTCTCACGCTCCCTCCTGGTTTGCCAGCCCTTCATCCATGCACTCCAGACCTCCTCATTCTGAATCTGTGGTTAAAGCTGGCCGTGCCCCCACCCTGCTCCCAGCTCCACTCTGCTAAGCAACAGCCAGAAATCTGCTAAGCTAATCAGATGGTGAGAGGGGCCACCCAGAACCCTCTCTCTAGGGTTTTGCAATTAAGGACAAAGTCTTCCTGAAAACAAGGGGCTCTGGCTGCATTTGTTCACCATGGAACCCCCAGCCCCAGCCAAAGATCTGAGCCAGGTGCTTGGGAACTATGGGGAGAATGAGAGAATGGGCGTCTTGTCACTGTGGCAGAATGTGCAAAGTGAGAAGGGGAGGACAGATTTCTGAGGACCCTTCAATGAAAACTGTTGGGCACAGGGTGTGCTCTCTCCCCAAGTCTTTATGTGACCATCAAGCCTGTCCGTTCTGAAGCTCACTTGATACAAAGGGTCCCTCTGCCTCAGCCACGGGACTGCAGGAGCAACCAGCCCAAAACAAGTGGCAAAGCTGCATGGTTGCAAGCAGTGCATATTTTTTCAACTGTCTGGGGCTAAATATAAAACAGTAAAAATGCAAGGGAGCCAGGAAGGGTGAAAAGGACATAACAGGAGACTTACTAAGTAGAGAAATCAAAGGGGGGCCAGCCATCAGTTTATGTTCAGCAATAAGCA